AAAAAAACAGAAGATGAGAAAAATTTCAAAGACAAGAAGAAAATTTTTTTTTTTTTTGCAATGTCTTTCATTTCTCAATGATTCATTGCTTCAGTCTGATCTTAGAGTGAGGAGTGTTTTTTTTTTTTTTCTTTAGTTTTGTTTTTCTCCCACGTTGTTGTACTCATTTTATTACTATTTTTTTTTTTTTTTTACTTTGGTGCTTTGTATTATTTTTCTTTTTTATTATTATTTTTTTCTTTCTCTCTCTCTCTGTGTGTGTATTTTTAATCTTCTTTAATTAGTTAGTAGAACTTTTACTGTAGCTTATGGACTCGACAGTGATACCCATTAATTTGACTGAAGATCGGTATAATGACAGTGTCACTGCACTTGGCAAGATAACAAGGACACGGCGGTGTGGTATTACGTGTTTTTGGAGTCCAGAAGCGGCGGTATACGCCATTCCCACATTCATAACGGTAGCTGTTGTCTTTGGTGTAGTCTTTACACTATGGAAAGAGCTTGGTTTTTTTGAACTCTGTATTCTTTTCATTCTACTCTCTACAGCCTTTATATCCTCCTTCTTAATTGTATGCACGGACCCAGGTGTGTATCCACGGTTACGACTTGGTGAAGTGGATCCACATCAAAATGAGAAGAATCTTGTTCTCTGTCGTATATGTGGAGTACGCCGCCCTCCTCGTACGGCACACTGCTATCAGTGCAATGTGTGTGTATTGGAACACGATCATCATTGTGGTATACTTGGTGGTTGTGTTGGACAGAGAAGTCTACGTTGGTTTGCACTCTATCTCGTAACGGTGAGCTCAGCATCGGGTATGGGTATTTACTGGCTTTCCCGTTCACTGATTAATGAAGTATATGCGGCAAGCCAGCGAAATGGCCGTCGTACATTTGATCAAACTTCTTCTGAACCTGGACAACCCGCTGCTGCTGTTGGAGGAGGAGGAGGAGTTGTTGGTGTTGATAATATTTCAAAAACCTCTTTAGGACGTCCTGGTAATAATGAAGAAGATACTTTGAGATCTCTGGCCATTGTTCTTCTTTTTGTAATGCTACTTCTTGTTATGCTTCTTGTAGGGAGTCTTGCCGTGTTTTATGTTTATTTAGTGTTGACGTCAACTACACGTCGTGAATCACAACGATCGCAAACGAGAAGAGGAATTTTATTACGTCCAAAATTGATGTGGGAGAATATACTGCATGTTGTGTATCCTCCGCCTTCTTTACTGCTCGTCCCTGAGGATAGCAAAAACTCTTTGGTTTAATGATAACTCTCTTTTACTGTGCTGGTTCACTTGGTTGTGGTTTTTTTGGTTGTTATTGTTATTGTTTATGGATGTGTAAGTTATTTTCTCCTGGAAAAAAAAAAAGAGGGGAGGAGGAATGTTAAAGAAAATGGGGAATACAAGGAGGAAGAAAACTACCGAAAACTTGAATGAGAGTGTTTCTAGTTCCTTTTTAGGGAGGGGCTAAGATTAATTTTTGTTTCCTCTGTCTTCAAAGAATACGTATTGACTATTCTCATTTGTGGGAGTGGTGCGTCTGAGAAGAAAAAAAAAGGGGGAAATAAAAAAAGGAAAAAAAAAAATGAACTAAATGCTTCTCGTGTCTTTCACGCGATTTCTTCTACTCGGCGTAATATTATCTTCTATATTCAGGTTTGGATCTCCTGAGAAGACTTGATGTGAATCCCTCCCATTTCTTCTTGTTCTCTCTGCGTGATGGTGTGCCAGAGTGGTTTTTTTTTTTTTTCACTCTCTAATTACACCTATTGTACAGTGAAAACCTCAAGATCATATATATATATATATAAGAATATATTCGTTTAGATGAGAAAAAATGAATCTTTAGTCCTCATTGCGACTGGTTGGTGGAACATGAAGGTATAGTCATTTCAAGAAGGTCCACACATACACACGCACACACACACACACACAGACAAAAAAAAAAATAGTAATAAAGGTGATCGGTCAATTAATATATTCTTTTATGTAGACAATGCAGTAATGCAGCTTTCTCTTTTGAGACTAAATACCATTGTTTGTATTTTTTTCTTTGTTCTTTGGGTCTGTGCTTTTATGTTATGTGGATGGGCGCAGTATGTGTTGAATCCTCTTTCTTGTTCCTGTTACTTTAGTTAAGAACAAATGTGCACGCATGCACCGTCTCTATCCTCTTACTGTGTATCTGGATATTTTATATGCCTTTCTCTCTCTCCAAAGAAAACAGGAAAAAAAAGGGGATGAGAAAGGAGAAGGAAATAATCAAAACAACAACACCAATATACAAAAGAAGGACTATGTCTAGTTACATGAAGAGAAAATAAAATTTCGCATCTTGTACCTTGTGAGTCCCATGATGATATATATATATATATATATATATATATATATATATGGAACTATTTTTGATAACCGTTCCTATAATGAGTGAATTGACAATGGACACATTGTATAAAGTCTTTTTATGTGTGGTGTTTATTTTCTTATAGTGACAAGTCCTTGTCTGTCTTTTGTTGTTGTTGTTAATACAAGAGAAGAAAAGCCATCGGGAATGCTTTCCTGTGGAAGATGAACTTTATATCACATCATTCAAATGGTACTTTATTATTATTATTATTATTATTATTATTATTATTATTATTGATCCTTCTGGAGATTTGATTGTGTCGCACGATCTATAGAGTGAGATATTGTAAAAGTTTTTTCTTTTTTTTTTTTATGATCCCTATGTTCGAAGGGTTTATGAGGATACACTTGGCTGTAGTTGTGTATATAAGGAAATACAAATAAAAAAAAACAAGGAATATACATATACATATATATATATATATATATATATATTTATTTTTTTTTCTTCATTCTTTTTTTCTTTAAAAAAGGGGAAAGGTAGGCAATAGGCTATTCTCTCTTTTATTTCTTTTATTTTTTTTTTTTTTTTACCAATATCGACAGAACGTAAAAAAAAGAGAGAGAGAGAGATCAGAAAAAAGGAATTAGTCATGACAGTTGATGTTGGCTCTCACTGCTTCTTTGATCATCCACGGGAATCGTGGGTTGTGGCACGAGTACAGGGAAAATCAGCTAATGGATACACCGTGAAAACAGATGATGCCGAGCGTAAATGTGTTGGAGAGGAATTCACAGATGTGCGGGATACACAACTGGCGCCCTGTCGTGAGGATTTATTGGATGAACAACCAGATGATCTTCTCACACTCACAGTTTTGCATGATGGCCCATTACTGCGGTGTTTGTATATGCGGTACTTTCGGGATATTATTTACACCAACATTGGAGCTATTGTAGTGGCAATTAATCCGTTTAATTTTCATATACCATGGTATCAAGATAACAAGATGGGAGAATATCTACAGGAAGGACCTGTGATTGAAAAGAATATACCCCATTCATGGGCTCAGGCACACAATACATATCATGAGATGATTTCAGATGGGGCAAATCAATGTATTCTTGTTTCTGGAGAATCTGGAGCAGGAAAGACAGAGGCCACTAAAATTGTAATGAAATATCTTGCTCAAGTATCGTGTAAACAAGGTACAGAAGAAGAGAAAAAAAAAGGTCTTTTAGTTGGGTCAAAATTAAATGCCTGTTCACCTATTTTAGAGTGTTTTGGAAATGCTCGTACCGTACGTAATGATAACAGTTCTCGATTTGGTAAATTTATGAAAGTTAAATTTAATGAAAAAGGACAACTTGTTGGGGCAGAGACTACAAAATATCTTTTAGAGAAATCACGTATCGTCACGGCTGCTGAAGATGAACGAGTCTATCATAGTTTTTATCTTTTACCTCGTGGATCTATGGGAGCTAAACTTCAACTGGAGAATGAAACCATGTATAAGAGTCTAAACGCTGGAAAGTGTCTGCAGAACTCAGAGTACAACACCGCAGAAGACTTTAATGAAGTTATGAACGCCATGGTAGAGATTGGCATGCAGGAGAATGAAATACAATCCGTGTGGTCTTGTGTAGGGGGAATTCTATCGCTTCTTAATGTTAGTTTTGAAGCCGATGGAGAGGGAGCTCGAGTAGAAAAAGCTACAGAGAAGTATATTAAAAAAGCCGTTGCTCTCTGGGGAATTGATGAGACTATATTATTAAAAGAACTCGTCACAACAACACTAGTGGTACAAAAGACAGAAACAGTGAAATTATTACGCCCAACACTTGCAGTAGATGCCCGTGATGCTCTTGTAAAAGCCTTATATGATGGTTTATTTGGATGGTTAGTGAATAAAAGTAATGAGTTATGTGATGCCACTGCAACAGGAAATTGGATTGGTTTATTAGATATTTTTGGTTTTGAAGACTTTAAGAAAAATAGTTTTGAACAGCTTTGTATTAATTTAACAAATGAGTCTTTACAAAATCATTACAATATATATATATTTGACAAGGATATGCAAGAATGCCGTGCAGAGGGTATTGATGTGACAGAGGTAAAGTGTCCAGATAATTTACCATGTGTACGACTTATAGTAGATAAAGGTGGTATCCTTGCATTACTGGATGAGGAATGTACACTTGGTAAAGGTAATGAATTGGAATTTCTTGAAAAAGTTAATCAAGCACATGGTGGAAAAAATAAATTCTTTGAAAAGAAAAAAGTAAGTCGTGATACCTTTATTATTCATCACTATGCCGCAAGTGTTACATATGATGTTAATGGATGGCTAGATAAGAATCGAGATACATTGAAAGATAATATGAAAACAATGATGCGTAGTTCACAAGATCCTCTTATTCGTGAATTATTAGAAGCCCCATCACCACCAGAAGCCCGTAGTAAACGTGTAACGGTTGGTTCTTTCTTTAAAGAACAATTATCAATATTAATGGAAGTTATTAACAGTACGAATCCTCATTGGATTCGCTGCATTAAACCACATCCAGCAAAAAAACCAAGAATGTTTGATGGTGTACAAACGATGAAACAACTTGCCTCTAGTGGAGTATTAGGAACCGTACAAATACGAAAAGCGGGATATCCAGTACGAAATATATTTGATAAATTTAATAAACGTTATAAAATCATTGCAGGTGATAAAGCTACGGGAAAAAGCGGTCGAGAATTAGCACAAATTATTCTTACCGTGTGTGATATGAATAAAAAGAACTTGTCCCAGATTGGTAAAACTAAAGTATTCCTAAAGGCAGAAGCCTTTCCTATGATTGAACGTTATCGAAAAGAGGCTCTTTTTAAATTTTGTTGTTCTTTACAGAGAGTTGGTCGTGGATATCTTAATCGTCTACAAACAAATCATGAGAGTTGTGAAGCGAAACGTAAACGACTTGTGGAATTACTCACACAGGAGTATCGGGCGTATGTAAGACGTTCAGCGGATATCCGTGAGGCGAAAGCACGATGGCGTAAAGAACAAGAAATATTATTTCGTAAAGGAAGCATGCAATTGTATGAAGTGTGCGCTAGAGAAAAAGATCAAATGTATACCGATGGAACTCAGACATTACTCACCTTTTCAAAAGCATTAGAGCAATCGATTAAAGCTCTTAAATCAAGTCAAGCTGATAGAGAAAAAGAACGTCAGAATCTCATGGATGCAGACATGATAGAAAGAGAAAGAATGTTAAAAGAGGCATCTATGTATATTGAAGAACTTCGTCGTGTCTTTTATCAAGAACGTTTATTATTTGTAACGATGCTTTTGGAAGATTTAGAGGATCTGGAATTAGAACAAAGATGTCAAATTCGTGCTTGTGAACAGGAGGAACGGAATAACTTATGGCGTGCCTACTCTTCACGGTGTATTTCCCAACAGTTAGTAATGCTTGTAAAGCAATCTATATATGATTATCATTTGATGGAAGCCATGGAAGTATTACAGCGAGAAGAAATTCGAGAAAGACGGGCACTGGAGCAACGACATCGATCATATCAAAAATCATTTCTTCGACAATCTCGTGATATGAAATTAATCGCACGTCAATTAACACACAAACGAAATCAATTTGAAGAGGCACGAATGAAACAAGTAATGCTCTTGCAGGAAGTACGAGAGGCAGAGCGGAGAGAACTACGGAGTCAATCACTTCCATCGCCAATAAGTCTTATTCTCCCAAACACAAATAGAGAAGATAGTGCAGCATCACATTCGGTGTATGATATAAACCGTACAGCTCTCTCTTTATCATCGCAGATAATGTCCATCCAACAACAACAACAAGAAGAAGAAAAAGAAAAAGAAGAAGAGAAAAAATATCGATTAAATACATTCCCTGTTGTTTCTACTAATGAAATTGCCTCAAGGCAGCCATATATGAAACCTTTTTTGATCGATAAGTTTGGGAAATATGATGTTATTCCGTTATCTGAGTCTCCTTTAAAGATACCTTATCAATATTCTTCTTCATCTTCTACTTTTAATTATTCTCCATTACACAACGGAGAACGACAAAGAACACGAGAGTCATCTCTTCCTTCTCACAGTTCTCCATATTGGGAATTCTCTCCACGCCAATCAGCTCCATTGACACAGTCGGCCACCGTGTATGAGGCAATCTCACCTGCTACTGGGAAGAATTTCTCAGCAGGAGTACGGGCAACTTCATACAGTGGAGTACAGGAATCTGTTCCTTCAGCTCCGAGGTATAAGCGTTCCAAACGCTGGATGTGAGGAATTTAAAAAGAAAAGAAAAAAAGAAAGAGAGAGAGAGAGGATTGAGTGCATCAGCCTCTGAATATTATTTACTTGATTTTTTTTTCCGTTTTATTATTATTATTATTATTATTATTATTATTATTATTATTATTATTATTTTTTTTTTTTTTTATTTATTTATATCTTCCTTCATTTTCTCTTCTGTGAATAAGTACTTGAAGAGGAAACAAAAGATATTTGACAATTAATTGGTAATCATATTTAGTAAATGAAGTATTTAGAGGTTATAATATCTCTAACCTTGACAATATATGTGTACGTTCCAAACGTAGACGTCTGAAGTTGTACATATATACATATAAGAGGGGTTGAGTTCTCCCCTTTGTTTTATCGTTATTTGCATATAGGTATAACGTGCGTTTCTTTTTTTATTTATTTTTTATTCTTCTTTGCTTTGCTTTGTTTTGTTTTTTTTTCCCCAAATGACGTAGATTTCTGCTGAGCTATTACAACCAAACCGCTTCTGGCTTATTTGTGTCTTGGAATATTATTATTATTATTATTATTATTATTATTATTTCTTCTTTACTTCTTTTTTTTTTTGTGTTGTTCTTCCTTTTCCATCATCCTGGTGTGTACACTCCACATCAAATCCCTATCATAAATAACAAAAATAAAAAAAAGAAGGAAAAAAAAAAAAGAAACCGTGAGTGTCTCTGCGAAACAAGTGACAGGTTAATTATTTTCAATACTATTTATTAATTTTTCTTCGTTTCTTCAATGACGAGTGCAACGAAAAAGCTGATTGGAATCTCCACCGCTGCTCTTGCTGGTGTTATTGGATTCAGCTTCACAGATCCAAGCTGGACACAGCGACGATTTGACCCAAAAAAGGCACCGCCACTTTGGAAGCATGAGAACCCTTCACGTGCAGAGTGTGTGAACCAATTAAAAACATACAATTCACCGGAAACTCCAATGGATGTACTCATCGTTGGTGGTGGCTCCGTCGGTGCTGGTGTGGCCGTAGATGCCGTTACACGTGGATTAAGTGTTGGTCTTGTGGAAATGAATGATTACGCAAGTGGAACCAGTAGTCGAAGTACAAAACTTATTCATGGTGGTATTCGTTATCTTGAGAAGGCAGTCTTTCATCTGGATCCACAACAACTGGGATTGGTGGCAGAGGCATTAAGAGAACGTACCATTATGATTCATCAAGCTCCACATCTTTGTCATGATGTTCCTACTATTATTCCATGTTATAATCCATTGGATATTGTAATGTATTGGTGTGGTGTAAAGTTGTATGATTTAATCGCTATGTGGGAACGTGGTACATTAAAGTATGCTGGATTTCTTACCCCTTACGCTACAATGGATAAATTTCCATTATTAAAACACGAAAATCATAACAGAGAAGTATTACTCGGTTCCGTACAGTACTACGATGGACAAATGGATGATGCTCGTTTATGTCTTTCCCTGGCACTTACAGCTGCTAGTTATGGAGCAGCTACAGCTAATTATATAAAAGCAGAAAAAATGGATCTTGTACGTAATAAAATGGGAGAAGTAATTGTAAAAACTACCCTTCATGATCGAATGAAGAAGGAAGATTTTTCAGTTTACAGTAAAACTGTTGTAAATGCTGGTGGTCCATTCAGTTCAGAGGTGCAAAAACTTATAACAGATAAAAACTCTATTCGTATGGCACCTAGTGCTGGTACACATATTATTATTGATTCAAAGTATTGTCCTAAAGAAAGTGCCATGGTGGTCCCTTCTAAAGATGGTCGTGTTGTATTTGGTGTTTCTTGGTTGGGAGGTTGTCTACTTGGCACAACTGATAAAAGCTGTGAGGTGAGTGAAGATGTACGACCTTCAGAAGAAGATGTGAAATTTCTTCTTAAAAATGTTGAGGAATATGTTGGCAAAGTCCCACGCGAGGATGTACAATCCGCCTGGTGTGGTATTCGACCACTCGCCCTCCCAGAGAACTCCGCCACCGGCGGAACAGAGAATATTGTCCGTGAACACATGGTCTCCGTAGACCCGCAGAACCGCATGGTAAGTGTCACGGGCGGGAAGTGGACAACATACCGCAAGATCGCACAAGACACCGTCGACACTCTACGCGATAATTTATTGCGCGATGGAAAAAACACAACAGGTGCGAAAACTACTGAAACGATGCGGCCGTGTGTGACGGAGGAGGTGCAGGTGGTCGGAGCACACAATTTGGCGGCTGTTCCTTCTGAGCCCCCAAGTGATATTCCGCGAGATGTGCACACCCACTGGCGCGCCAACTACGGCGATCGCTATTCCACGCTGCTGGAGATGGTGCGGCGGGACCCAAAGTTGTTGAGGCGATTACATCCGTCCGAGCCGGTGGTGGAGGCGGAGGTGGTCTACGCCGTGGAGCGGGAACACTGCGAGCGGGTGCAGGACTTCATTGCCCGCCGTACTCGATTGTCTTTTCTCAACGTTCAGCATGCAAATGATGTCATTCCGGAGGTGGCACGTGTGATGGCGGAGACGCACAACTGGAGCCGTGCAAAGAAGAATGAGGAAACAGCCAATGCATTCGCTTCTCTGGATTCGTTTCGCGCCAACTAGAAGGACTTAACTCTCTTTAGTATATAGATATGCATTTACACGTCCACATAAAGTGGAAAGAAAAGAAAAGAAAAAAAAAAGATATGAGGGATGAAAGTAAATAGGGATCAGAATACGAGAGAGGGTTCTGGGGGAATGGGTGTATCTACAGGTGGAAAAATCATCATTTCTTTGTTTTTGATTATTTTTCTCTTTTTACGCTATGAACGTCCGTGTTCAATTTATTGTTGAAGAGAATAACTATTTTATATATATGAATGTATGTACGTATGGCAAAAATATATATATATATATATATATATATATATATTGTGTAAATGTGTTATGTATCCCCGTCACTATTTGTATGATGACGTTTGTGAAGGTATATGTGTTTTTGTATCTGTGTATTTTCTTCTTTTTCTGTGTATGTATGTGTGGATATGGTTTCTCACATAATAGAGCAAAGATGTTGAAGTTAAGGTTTTTTTTTTTTATTATTATTCTGATCTCTTTTTGCAATCGTTTTTTTTTTTTTTTTTTTTAATCCTTAACTCTCTCTCTCTCTCTCTTTTCTGTGTGATGGTTCTGAATCCAATTTCCTAAATGTTTATGTTCATTCATTTTATTTTTCTTTCTTCCTGTCTTTTTGTTTTGTTTCTTTCGTTGTTTGTTTGGATCCTTCAAAAACGTCTTTTCTACTTCGGATTGAGGAAGTGATTCAAAGGGGGAAAATTGACGGCAGTGTAATTTGAATGATCTTCACAACACCCTAATAGTCTCTTAAATCTCTTCATTTTATACCAATGATATTTCTACATTTATCCCATTTCCTCTCTCAGATGAAAAAAAGAAAAGAAAAAAAAAAGTAAAAATAAATTTAATAATAATTATAATAAAAAAAAATTTTTTTTATTGAATATCTATGTCTCCTTCACATATTCTCTTTCTTTTCTTTCTATCTCAATCATGATGATGATGATGATCATGAACGGGTAGTTGTGTAGGTTAGACCACTCAAACGTACATTCCTTTTATTAGCAGTTAGTAGTGATGGCAACAGCGGAGGAACTTGGCCCAGGTGGTGTGAACCGCGTTGGTAAACCCATTTTCATCGCCACTGATCACACACGGTACGCTCCAACTACAGATCGTGAATTGTCGGATCAGGAACAACTCGCATGGAAGTCATTTCAACTCTGGCGGACGACACTCTCCATGGAGCGCCGAGATAACGTGTATAAGTCTCTCACAAACTCAGACTATACAAACTTTCGCTTAGCGAATCATATATTGGGTACTCCTTATCCTGTAGTAGATACGTCTCCTAATTTCTTTGATGTTTTAAAAGGAATTCGATGGTATGAACATGTTATTTCTGCATCTGTGGCATTTGCATATAGTTATTGGATCCGATCGAAAGCATCATTACGTCATGCACACATGATGCCAATGTCTCGCTCATCTATTACAATGTTAACATTTTTTTGTATGGATTTGTGTTTCGGTTATCGCAGTATGTATAGACTAACGGGTTATCTACCAAATGACTATGAATGCCGTAAGTATGGTGTTATGGAAGATAAGGAACGTTTAGAGGAAAAAAAACGAATGTGGGAAAAGTATGCAAAATATAAGAAAGAATGGTGTCGCCGGTTTGATTATCATGTATATGGTATTCGTCCTGGTGAGAATTGGAGTTTCTTTTCAGCTTGCTTGTTACCATCGTGGGAACCACGCTTTAACACCTGCACAGATTATCCAATGAGGAAGAACCCGTACTTTCTCACTACTACACCACTACGGGATATGTTTGCGGAGTCACAGTTTACGTATGAGATACCAAATGATGAGAATGTACCACTTGTAAAGGAGCGTCCAGAGTTCAAATATCTCTATCGTGGACCGGAACGCTAAGGTGGGTGGGGAGAGATTCATAGTGAGTAAGAAAAAGAAAAAAAAAGGGAAGTAGATATTTGGGGTTGGGAGTCAAGGTGTAAATATATATATATATATATATATATATATTTGTATTTATTTTTTTTTACTACAAAGAGGTATGTGTAGGGTTAAGAGGAAAATGGGATTGGGGGAAATGGGGGAATTTGGGGAATTGGAGTAGTTGACAGAGAGAGAGAGAGAGAGAGGATATAATATAATATAGACTTAGTTTAGTATTTGTTTGCATCTTTTGCTTGTGTGTGTGTGTGTATGTATGTCTGTATTTGTTTTCTATAAGTATTCTGTACATTAGATGATTGCAGTTGTAATATCTTTTGTACAAGAAGTGGAGAGGGAGAAGTATGCAAAGGAAAGAGAATTTGCAGGTTTTTAATAGGCGGAGCAACACCTAGACAAGGTTCATGGAGAGTGATGACAGTAATAATAAAAAAAAAAAAAAAATCAAATTAAATTAAACTATTCTGTTTTTTTTCTTTCCTCTTTTTTTTTTTTTTGATTTTTTTGTAATTTCTCTGTATATTACTACACCTTCTTACTTTATTTACTTTCTTTTTTTTTTTGTTTCTTCTCTTTTTATTTTTTTTTCAGTTTCTTCATCCTCAGTAGAGGAGTTGTGTATGCTCAGTTAGCGTGTACACCTCCGCTGGGAATGCAAGACTCAAAAGGAAATAAACCGCAGAGTTTAAAGTCCATATGTGATGAACTCCTCGCGGACCGTACAAGTGATGAAGAGTTGCAACAGCAGCGATTACAGTTAGAATCATTATTTACATCCCCCAATTCTCAATTAAGTGAAGTTCCTACTGCAACCGCTCTTCGTCAAACAGTAGAGATATTTATAAGAGAACATGCGGATGTTATGTTGTTTAATAGTGATATGAATACAATGGGAATGAAAGAGATGGATCCATCTCGTGTATGTGATCTTCTTCTGCGTTGCAAAGGTCCTCTTGAGAGTCTCAAGGCAGAGTGGAAACGAGTATTGGAAGAAACATTCACAAAGAGGAATGAAGGCCATCACCGTAATTCTGAATGTAATGTATTGTGTTTTGATTCTGATAATGACACAGCGTGGGAAATACTACAGTTAGAAGAAGAAAATCAGTGTAAGAGCCATGCGAATAAGCATACTTCACGTGATCTCCTTAACATGTGTGTGCAGCAATGGGTAGTGACAAAACAAGATGGTGTTCATAATAATAATAATAATAATAATAATAATAATAATAATAATAATAATAGTAATAAAGATAGTAAAGATTACACTAATGGGGTACAATCTTGTTTAAAGAAAAACAATGGACAAGAGATCCTACAGGCAGTGCGTGAAGTAATAGACGCAGATCTTGATACAAACATTTTAGATGAAAATTGGGAGTTTTGGGTATCACTATTACTAGCCTATGTTGAGAAGGACACCACCTCACGTGAGGCTGTGAGTGTAGTGGAGTTATTATATATGCATTGTACAGCTCAAGAGAAACTTTATCTTGTTGGATCCATCACGAAAAAAATTCATCGTCTTGCGGATAATGCAGTCGTTTTAAAAGATATTTTTATGAATTTATTTCATCAATTACTTCTACGTACACCAGAGGATATTATTCCTTTTACAGATGATGAAATTCTAGAGTTATTTCTACAATCCTTACGTGTTGTGGTAACTCATATTATATCTTTTAATTCTATGGATACAAAAGCGCAGTGGTTGAGAGGACTGTTGGTGCGTCCTTCCCTTATTTCTCATATTATCTCTTTACCAAACTCAACACCAGATGTTATGGAGAAGTTAATAACAGACACAACACCCACACCTCATGCTATTTCCCTAATTGTTATCATGTTACCACTTTGGATGGGAAATGATAGTAGTAGAAGTAAAAGAACTGTAATTACACTCTTTGAAGGAATTGTAAATGCTATACTGCATGATCATATTCCAAAAGAAATGTTAACGGATGTTATGGTGTGTATAGGGCGCTGTGTACATGGTATTTATTTTGAAAAACGCTCTGAGTATGTTAATATGATATGTGATGCTATTGTTTGTAGAATGAATGACACAACAATAATAACAAGAGGAGAATGTGTATTAACATTATTGGAGCTCTTATTACGATTTGCATGTCCCTCTGCTCATTTCTCTGATGAAATGTACCGACTACCACCCATACATTTAAAATCTATAGAAGAAAATCTTTTAAAACGCTCTGAAAAGTGGTCTAAAGTGAATGATTTAAGAAAAAGTGCCGTTCGTATTTTTTGGTGGGTAATGCTTCGTTGGTATGCAGCGGATCTCAATAAAGTAGTTACACGAGTTGTGAAGAGTGTGTGTAGACGTGATCGGCGAATGGGTGTATTGTGGGATGAGGGACATCTTGTGGCTATGAGTTACACTATACCGCTCTGGTGTGGATTGGAGGATGTGTGGGAAAGTGAGCAGCGGGTAAGTTCTCTTAATTACGTGATACTTCTTCATTATATTTGTAGTAGTGATAGGAAGAATTTCTCAGAATATTATCATCTACATCTACAAGAAGAACAAGAAAAAGAAGAAAAGGAACTAGTATCATTTTCACAACCAATACCATTATCCATACCATTACAAGAAAAATCATATGTGGATAGAGAAGTGGAACCTCAACGGTCATCATCTCAGATGAGTCACATGTCAACATCGTGGTGGATGTTAATGCGTTGGTGTACGAATGCGTGTGCACGTCGTGGATTATTTTTTGCAACAACAGAGTCTCTTCGTTCTCTTGTGGATAATAATTATAATGATATTTTAGATAATGTCCCTCTTGTGATGCCAGTAGAAGAATTTGATGAGTTACTTCACATTCCCCATACCATTTCTCAACAGAAACTTCATAAGCAGCAAACTCTTGCGCTTTTACTCTCTATTAGGTTATGGATTGCTTCCTTAAGTTCATTAACGCAACCTGAAGCACCTATTACTTGTAAAATAAATTTGAATGATATGTTGCATCAACAAATACGAACTTATTGGATAGATTATAATACTAGTGGTAAACTATCTAAATATCCATTTGGAGATGATTCCCTATTAGTGTTACTTTGTGTCTGTTGTATGGGAAAGTTAACAGATAAAGAGAATCATCATTACATGGATAAATCGGTTTTGCAGGAAACTCTGCAGCAGCTGGTAGAAGATAGATGTGGATTTGATCCAATAGAACAGATTGTAAAATATCTCATCACTGGTGTTGGTGGTGAGTATCTCGCTTCTATCCTTGCAAAGCGATTTGAGGCGGTGTGTGAAGTTTCTATATCTTCAGATCTAAGAAAGGATAAACAACATTTTCTCGTACCAGCTGTGACAGAAGAAGATATACACTCCCTTTACTCTTCCCTTAAGTTAAAAGAAATAACTTCATCATCATCATCAACAACAACAACAACATTAACAACAACAACAACGACTACAACAGTGTCAAATGATATTATGGATGTTTCTTTGCGTAATATATTGTTTCTTTTGCTTGAATTACATGGAGGTGATGTCTTTCAGGCAGCGAATACTTTCAAGAGTTATCCAGTCTCAAAGTGGGAGGCATACGGGCGTTGTACAGAACTAGCCGTGGGAGTTGTACAACATATTGTAAGTATGTGGCCGCATGTTGAAAGGATTCTTCAATCTGCCGGTATAGATGTTTACTATCTTTCTTTGCTGTGTGTAAGTAAGTGGATGCGGGATCCAGCCACGTCTGTGGATTTGGCAAAGAAGTCTATTGAAAAATTTATGCATATTGGACAAAGAGCATGGGAATGTATTGTTGCTGAGAGTCTGTATAGGCATTTAATGGGAATTTGGCAGCAGCTGAGAGAACCAGAAGAGTTGTCATCATCATGGACGGCGTCAGGTATTTTTCCAGTAAGTCTTCTTTGGGCCTCATGTTTGACGAAACCATTTATTTTATCTGAAGGACTGTAAATTCTGCAGAAAAACATGTCTTCAGTAAAGATGATTATTATTATAATAATGATGGTAGTGGTAGTGATGATGAGTGTCCATTTATTTTAGGGAGATGATGTTACGACTTTTTCTTTCTCTTTTCCCCATATCAATCTCTTGTATATATATATTTATTTATCTCTCTCTGTGTATATGAGTGTGAGTGTGTGTGCGTTCGTTTCTTTCTTTTTTTTTCTCTTCTTTTCCTTCGATTATTCTTATTCGTGATATTATTGTGGTTTTTCTTCTTCTTTGTGTACCTATGTATGTATGTGTCTTGTGTTTCTTTGTTTGTTCTTCTTGTTATTTAGCTCTTCCCAAAAGACTGTTTCTCTGAACACAATATAGATAAAGGGCAGTATGAACAACAGCGGAGCAACTGGACTACACAACCCACAGTTATGGCGCCGTTCTCCGGATGTACAGTCCATAAGAGACCCCAGTTCTCCATGTACAGTGGACGAGACGGGAAACACAACAGGATCTAAAGAGAAAGTTGTTCGTATTGTAATGGGATCTTTATCTGTGGTTGACTGGATACGCAGTCAGTGGTTACTCTGGCTCTTTGTGTTAAGTATATGTATGGCGTATTATCATCCTTCTTCTATGGATATTGCCTCTAGTGTGTGGGTGCGAGTTCTTGTGTTTATTTCTTTTACACTCAGTGGTGCATCCTTTCCAGATATTGATAAGAGTGCGGCATTCCGTTTTATTGGTCCAACTATTGCTATGTGTGTGATGAGTCTTGTGGTTTCTCCTATTATAGGAACAGCTGTGTATATAATGTTTCACGGATCTACCGATGTGCATTTTCTCTTTATTGGTTTAATGTGTACATTTTGTCTTCCTCCATCCGCTATATTATCCGTAGCCGCAGCACGATCATCACAAGGTAATGAAGCACTTGCACAGTATTTAAGTGCTATTGGAAGTGTAAGTGGTGTCATTGCTTCACCTTTACTCATGATTGCATGTGTTTCCCTTTCACACTCAACAAAACTTCCAAGTGCAATGGAAATGGTATTTTTTCCAGTAACTGTGATTGGTCCATTTTTTATTGGTATCATCGCTCAACGAATATTTGCTTGGGTTTCACATCGATATATAACTGGAGAAGATCGTGATGTGGTGCGAATCAGTAAAGCAGAAATTGCATGTTCTGAGCTTTGTGATGGAAGTCTTGTTTATTGGCGTCAACGTGCAGTTCAAATGAATTGTTTTGTTTTGCTTTTAGTGAACTATTTTATGTTCAGCTCATTTTTTGTGCAGTCTATAACACCAAACTTATTAACATGGAAAGGAATAGGAATAGTGACTTGCTTGGAGTTTGCTCTCTTCTTTCTCTTCTCTCTTGTTGGGTGGTGTTTGGCCTCTATTATTACAGCCACACCAGAGGAACGCATTGCATTGTTTTTTGCTCTCATTACGAAGTCTGAAGTACTTGTTGTACCCATCATACTTCATCTTTTTTATGAAAATCGTCAAGCCGCTGTTATTTTGCTTCCCTCGCTGATGTATCATCTTATCCAGGCATTTGCAACAGGTGTGATGAGTTTTCCGTTGCGACGCTGGAGATATAGATACAACTGTCGTCCAGGAACAACTTTACTTCCATTGCGATTAAGTAAATCCGTGCGAGCCTCATCAGCAAAGTAAAATTAGACCCCTTTTATTATTATTATTATTACTATTATTATTATTCATACGTCTATATATATATATATATATATATATATATATATATGTGAGAGAGGAACAATGTGTGTACGTGTTACAGTGGAACAGTGGAGTATTTCTTTATTCTTATTTTCTCTGATCCCACTACGAGTGATTCCTCTTGTTTTTCTTATTTTGTTTCGTAGAACAGTTTTTGCTGGAGAGAAGAAAAAGAAGCGTTTTCAAAATCAGTTTTAATACTCCTTCTCTGTATGTTAAATAATTTCTGTAAGTATTTATTATTTCCTGTTTTTTTTTCTCTCTCTTTGGTTAATAAATGGCGAATCTATCGTGTTACCCTTTCTTTCTCTCTCTCTCTCTCTCTCTCTCTCTTTTGTATTTGTTGCCTTTTAGAGAAAGAAAAGAAAGAATGAAATCTCTTATCTTTATTGAGGTTCATTATCACTTCCCAAAGGCATTGTTTCTTCTTTCTGTGTTTACCCTATTTACTCTTTTGGGTGCATCTCACGTGTATGCGGATAACACACTTGGCAAATCTAATCATTATAGATGTATGCACGATGAAGTTGCCATTCCATTAAATAAACTACCGTACGTAAATGTTGGTCAAAGTAATCCAAAGTTGAATCTGAGAGGTTCTCCTATTGAAGCATTTACCGCTGCTGCCCGTGAAAATATACGTTTTCGCCCTTCATATGCTCTTAATAGTTCATGCACCTTTGTTGGACAAACCGTGAATACCTACACTGGAGGTACGGCGGTCTGCAGAAAAGAAGATATCCTCACACCACGTAAAAATAGGACCGTGATGGCTTTAGTGGAGAGTGCTTTGGATTTTCTTGGAAAAGCACTTCTTGTAGATCCTCAGGCAATCATGAATGTACCAGCAGATGTGTGTGGAACATTAAAGACCCCTGCGGCTCAGTATACAAAGGTGGATTTTGTTGTGTTTGTAACGGCTAATCCAAGAGAAACCCCAAGTGATGTGATTGCATGGGCTCGGGCATGTGCAAGAGATCCACTTACACAACGTCCAGTGATTGGTCATATTAATTTTATACCATCTAGTATAAAAGATCACGTTGGAGAACTTGAGAAGCGTGTGGCTATGCATGAAATTACACATTCTCTTGGATTCACGGATATTGCAAATACCGCAAAAGGTATTACTGGATCCGGTGGATTTGGAACGTCTGGATCTGTAGTAGTATACCGACCAAATTTGGGGAAGAACGTAACGTTAATCACAACTCCAAAAGTAGTGGAAGTTGCTCGAAAACACTTTGGGTGTCCAACACTTGATGGAGTTGAGGTTGAAGATGCTGGAGGTCCTGGAACTGCAGGTTCTCATTGGAAGAAACGTATTCTCTTTGAAGAAGTACTTGTAGGTGTTGTTACAAGTCCAACTCTTTTTTATTCCTCATTTACACTTGCCTTTTTACAAGATCTTGGATATTACACTGCTAACTTTGATGTTGCAGAAGATAATTTTCGATGGGGAAGAAATAGTACATGTCGTTTCTTATATAATAAATGCAATGATCAAGATGAAGGAGTGAATGAATTCTGTTTTGGCTCATCTAAATCAAGTGTATGCACTAATGATAGACTTGGTTTTGGAAGATGTGATAATACCGAGTATAACAGAGATCTTCCAATCATGTATCAATACTTTGGAAAGAAGAATGCCGGTGGAAGTCTGGCAGAAATGGATTATTGTCCATTTATTATGGGATATACAAACGTCAATTGTATAAATGAACAATTGTATGATCCAAGTAATTTATTTGGTAGTGAAATTAATTCTTATAGTAGATGTTTTGACTCTAATATGATTACTGGTGCATTTCCCAATATTGGAAATGGTGTACGGTGTTTCCCTTTTGCGTGTACAGAATATGGACAACTAATTATACGTGTTCAAGGACAAACTGCACCATGCCCTGAAAATGGAGATGCTGGTAATGCAGATACATCTAAATTAATAGGTGTTCATGGTAAAATAAAGTGTCCACGAGCTGTAGAATTCTGTGGTACAACAAACGTAAGTCAGACATCTGCTATTTTACCGGAAACTCTCTTTACAAGAGCCATTCCATTCATATCTCCAGTCAAGGTTTATACTGCCCTAGACTTTACACATGAGTATGCAGAAACCTGTGCAGATCGAGTTAAATGTGCAGATAATTTAACATTGTTTCCAGTGTGTCGTTTTCTGACTAAAAAAGTACTCGACTGTTTTGGTAGAGACTGTGAGAGTACAATGAATCAATGGTTTTATAAAAACAAAATTATTCAGAAATGTCAAGATCCAAAGACATTAGCTCAGTCATGTCTAGATGGTTGGATAGGCGTTAACAAACTATGTGCAGTGGCATCTGCTGCCTATCCACTGAGAGTACAGTTTTCTCTTTTTACTACATTGTTCGTGACACTGATGGTCACCTTTCTGAATTGAGAAGGGGTTTTCTCATTTATTATTAAAACAAAAAAAGAAAAGCAATGGTAGTAATATCACCATGCTCCATATGTGATTATATATATATATATATATATATATATATATATAATGTTACAGTGTGTCATATTGGTAACATGATTATTTTCTATGCCTAGAGACTCGTTTTCTCAGAATATAGGAATTAATGTTATATATATGTACCTCTTTTTATTCCTAATTGTTTTTCTTTTCTTCTTGAAAAGATAATCATTTCCAGATTAGGGGTTTAGAGGTAGGTACGACAAAATATTTGTGAAATAGAGAAATAGTGGGGTACGACTTATGCGAGAAAAAAATAGAATATATATATATATATATATATATATATAACTGCATATGGTAGAAAACCTCTATTTGTTTACTTTTTTTTATTATTTGTTGTTGTTGTTTTTCTTGTTTTAGACACCAACAGTACAGACTCATCATTACTATGTTAATATCATTTTTTTTTTTTTTTTGGAGGCCTGAACTTGTAGGTCTTCTGTGATGAAATAGTCCATTACAGGACAATTATTTTTTTTTATTATTATTTTATGCTACCCCAGTGCGACAATTTTTTTTCTCCGTTTTTTTTCGGTTTTGTTCTTGCACACACACAGACACACATTCTCTTTATTTCTGCATTGCCTTATTTATTTATTTATTTATTTATTTATTTATTTATTTATTTATTTATTTCATTTCGTCTTTTCTTGGTTCTTTGTTTAGAAGCCGTAGCGTTCACATTGGTCTCAGGCAGTAATGGAGGAGAGCACACAATCCCTGAAGTTCGTGGGAGCGGATGTGACGAATACCGATATCGCACAGGCATGTCTGCGCCAAGCCGTTACGCACGTTGAACTTCACAATTGCGATCGTGTTACGGACGTGAGTGCACTGGCGGATATTCCAACTTTAGTGGAGGCACGTATTTACTCATGCAAGAGAGTGCGATGTTTTGGTTTATTGTGTCAAAAAGAATCATCACTGCGGAAACTCGTACTTTTTAGGACACCAATAACAGGAGCTCAATTAAAGGATTTAAGAAGTCATGGGATTGAAGTTGTTCTTAAAGAGAGTACTGGTTTTGAAAAAATGGTACGACCGTCTGAATCGCTTGTTAAGTCTTCTTTAGATCTGATTCGAAAGGTGACGGCTGATGTTAAACCAGAACAAATTGGAATAGCCTTTAATGGTGGAAAGGATTCTGTTGTAATGATGGATCTCCTTTTATGCGTTTTTGGTAGTGAGGTAATGAAAAAATTCTGTATTTTTGTTCTTGGAATTGGGGGTATGGAGGAGTTTAATGAAATGGTGTCATTCAGAGAGAATTATGCTAGTACCAATGGTTTTGTTCTAACCAAGACGGATTCTTCACTTTCTATGAAGGAAGGACTTGAATATCTTAAAGAAACCAGAGATATTCAACTTGTTTTTATGGGGACACGAAAAAGTGACAGTGCTCACCAAAAAGAAAGTGTAGAACGTACCACAAAAGGATGGCCAGATATGTTGCGTGTCTGTCTATTGTTTAACTGGAGTTATGAAGATATATGGGGTTACATCCTCGCATACGGTATTCCATTCTGCAGTTTATATGCAGAAGGGTATACCTCTCTTGGAAGCCTTAATAGCACAGCACCGAATCCTCTTCTCCGCCGTAGTGATGGAACTTTCAGTCCTGCCTGGGAGTTGAGTGACAGTTCTGCCGAGAGGAATGGTCGCCACGTAAAAGCATAGGGGTATTACATGGATTTGCTGATATACTTGCTATTTCCGTCTCTGTATTTTTGCCGTTTTTATTTTCTTTTAAAAAAAAAAATATTTGCGTTCCATGCTTACTTTTTTCTATATATATATTTCTTTCTTTCTTTATTAATGTGTTTCTCTCTGTCTGTATGAGAAAGAGAAAAAAAAAAAGACAAAAAAAATAAAAAAAAAAAACGGATCAGCAGGGATAGTATAAGAGTCACAACTAAGAGGTAAACTATACAGTAACGTATTTTCTGAAGTATACGTTTTCATTTCTTTTCTTTTGTGTGTGTCTGCTTATTTTTTTTTTCTTTCTATGTTTCTTCATATTATTTGACGAAATGATGGTATAAACCCCTAATTATTTTGTTTCTTCTTCACTTGTATCTTCTCTGCAGTAGTTAGGTTGATAGATACGCAGGTGTCTGTCCCTCTCTTTCCTTCTCCCTCTCTAACCCTCCGTGACTGTGAAGGAGGAAGAGGACTATTTCTACCCATACACATATATACAAACACAACAACAACAATAATAATAAAGAAAGAAGCATAAAAATGATACGCAGTGGAGCCGCATTTAATCCCATGCGGCGCACTCCGCCACCGCCACCGTACATGGATACATTCAACTTGGACCCAACGGAGTACATTCGCGTACTCTCAGCGGAAGGCCACACATTCGTCGTCCACCGTGACTGCGCTTGCTCCTCGCCGCTGCTGCGCAAATGTCTCGCCAATCGACTCGATCCTGCGTTACCCACCGTACGTATTTCTTGGGGCGACGAGGTTTCCACACGAAAAGACTCGGAAAGTACGGGAGAATCACGAGAAGCGGGAGGTGAAGAGGCAACGACACCAAAGTCTGTTGGGAATGTGGGAGAACAGAGAGGAGGGGATCTTCGCCCACCCGTCATTCACTTTCCGGAACTCCCCGCAGTGTGGTTGGAAGTGGTACTGCAGTATTTACACCATAAACACCGTTATGAAGGAGATACGGGCGATAGGCCACCATTCCACGTTCCTGTGGAAGGGGCAATAGAAGTGATGAAGGTCGCAGAGGTACTGCAATGTTGATGGGTATGATGGTGTTTCTTTTCTGTGTGTGTGAGTGTGTGTATTAGGTTGAGGTGCGATATGTACAGGTATGAGTTGTGTCTCGGTGAGAAATGAGACCATTATGTCCTTATATTTGTGGTATTTTGTATGACTGTTTTCGCTTCACGCATGGGGTCACGCATTTATTACAAAGGAATAAGTTTTATACTTTTTTTTCTTATTATTATTGTATTTATTTAACAGTCTGGAGACTTGTTTAAAAATATGTAAATTGTATATTCTGTGTTTGTAGCACGCTTTTGTTATTATTATTTTTTTTTCTTTCCGTTTCCTCTGTAATGTATATAAATATAAATATATATATATATATATATCTGTGAAGGGAATGTCGAGAAGGCAGCGTGCCGCGGTGCAACCAGAGCAGACGATTGCACCACAGATTGTGTTTGACAAGTCCCACATGGTGTGTGTGCGCTCTGCTGATGGTCAGTTCTTCTTGCTGGATCGAAACTGTGCGATGGTTAGTGGCGTACTGCGGCGCTTTTTGCAGAGGAAAGGTTGTGAAGAAGAGCCCTGTACTGTTGTTACAGCTACTGCAACTATTGCTACTACAACTTCCACTACTACTAATACCACCACTCCTGCTGCTGCTGCTGCTGTCACTCTACCTGTTTTACCATCGTTGTCATCACCTCCGCCTGAATCTTGTGACCTCACACGAATTGGAACTGAAACCTACGAGACCATTATATTAGAAGAGATACGAAGTGATCTACTAGAACTCGCAATACAGGCGATGTATTTTAAGTACAGATACGACGGTGAACCAGAGAAACGTCCATTGGAGGTGCATCACTCTGCAGAGATGAGGCACCGATTGGCGGCGGTTAGTGTGTTGCTTGATATGTAAATTCTCCAAAAGAATATGGCTCAATAGTGATTATTGAGATTCATATATTCTATATCTATTTACTTTTTCGTATATATGTATACGTCTCTGTGTGTGTGTGTGTGTGTTTACGTGTGTATCTGTGAAAGAAGATGAATTGAAGTGAGAAATGGATTATTATTATTATTATTTTTTCAGTTCTGTTTCTTTTTTACTTACTGAAGTGAAGAAATATGCCAATTTATAAGATAAATAACATTGGTGACACATACACATACACGTGAAGAAAGAGAAAGATAGAGTTCATTTTGAGCTTTATTATTATTATTATTATTATTATTATTATTAGTTTATTATTGTTATTCTTATAATGGTATTTAATGTGATATATCTTTATATGTTGCTCTCTTTTTTTTTTCATTTTTATTTTTTTTTACTTTCTTTTCTCGTTTTTTTTTTGTGGATCTGGAAAGGGGATGAGTGAAAATGAAGAGGCGGGTAGTAGTGAGTCATGCGGTGGCGATACGAGAAGTATGTCCTCCGCTGGGGATGCAGATCTCGCCTGGATTCCTGGAGAAGATGAACACATAGGTGGTGAAATTAGCCATGAAGATGGTAGTGATCATTCTGACGATGAAAAGGAAGAAGGATGTGAAGTGGAGGTGCCACGTTACATGGCATCAGCCCTCAGTAGTGTTCTTGCCACTGATTTAGCATCTCATCGTAATCATCATCATCATCAAGAAGATGAAGAAGAGGAAGTGGGGGTGACTGATATACCTATAAAGTCGGTAACGCAACAATGTGATGAGGGAGAGCGAAAAAAGGTTTGTTGTATTTGTGGAGATGCCGCCTTGTATACTTGTCCTGGTTGTAATGCACGGACCTGCAGTATCACATGTATACGTGTGCACAAGCAAGAGTTTAAGTGTACAGGAGAACGTGATATTGCCAAAAAGGTACCACTAAGTGAGTTCACGGATAAACATTTACAGCGTGATTATCACTTTCTAGAGGACGTCCGTCGAGTTGTTAGCAACTGCGACCGTACATTTCCAAAGATGTGGCGCTATACTTTCCGTGCACTTCCACCTCCACTTCATGCCTTACGAGAGGCGGCGAAGAAACGTGGTGTTGTTTGTCAAATCACATCAGAGGGAATGGCGAAACGTGATGCTAATACCTCTCGTTATGATCGTAAGACAGAAACAATCACCTGGCGCTGTCAGTTTAATTTTCATAAACCAGACTTTAGTGTGGCGACAGATTGGGGTAGTGAACGTCACAGACTTGGTGATATTCTAGCGTATTGCTGGGCCACTAATCCACCATTACCATGTTTTCACATCAACAAACAGTATAATCGTGCCTCAAAGTGGATTGGAACAGAGAAACATGATGATGTGGAACAGGAAAATACAGAAGAAAAGGCAGAGCAGGAACAGGAAGAAGAGAAAGAAGTTTCAGTTGAGGAAGCTAAGAAAGAAACTTTTGTAAATAGTGAAGATACACTGACATCACCACAATCCTTGGAACACCGCCACAATCTTCATTCCCAATCACAGGATCAACACCAAGAGCATTATCAACAGGAGCAACAACAAGAACAGCAAGAAGAAGGGACATGGATGCCTTCTCAACTCAGTGTTTCTCCTGCCTTCTCTGATATTAAGAGCAAGCAAGACGTAGAGTCTTTCTTAGCAATGGAACCAATTATTATTCTATCACAAGCTGAACGGTTAGGACTTCAGCGGAAATACTTTCGTCTTTCACCTTTTAGCACATTAAATGAAACCCTTCGTACGCTTTTTTTTATTAACGAATTTCCTGTTTTTGAAGTTATTCACGCCTCTGATCTAGAGTTATATCCCCTTGTTACAGAAGCAGACAAGGAAACCATTCGTGAAAGTTTCCGTATGGCTCCTCGTCCACCTAAGCCTGAACGGAAACCACGACGCACAAAAGCTGATCTCACACCAGATGAGGTTGAGCGATATGCAAAGGTACCGTGTCGTATGTTTCTTGCTGGTCGCTGCAAGCTTACTGAAGATAATTGCCCTTATTGGCACTGTGAGTACAAGGATGTGCCGGCGTGTCGTAGTTTTGTTAAATTTGCGTCTTGTGAAAAGGGTGATCGATGCAGTTTCCGTCATGATCCTGCTGCCGTTGGTGCTGCTCGTAAACGTGCAAGAGAAGAACGTCATCAAGCTTCTGGCCCAAGGAACAAGCGCCGCAACGAGTAGTAATTAATACTTTATGCGATTAAGTCGAGCAAAAAAAAAAAAAAAAAACTGATAAAAAGAAAGTAACAAGTAACGAATGAGATGGAAGAAGTGTCTCAAGAGACGAATAAAAAATTATATATATCAACGATTAAAACAAAGAGAGCAGGAATGAGAAACTGATGGATACAACGGTGGAAAGACGAAAAAAAAAAAAAAAACGAAAGTAAAGTGGTTTTAGTACATCAAAGCAACACTGCGTCGAAAAAATGGGAAATTTTTTACGAACGAATTTTTTTCCTTCTTTAAACAATATTCTTTTTGGGTTATACTGTTATTTTCCCTTGCTCGTGTATTTGTTATTTTTATTGTATTCCTCAATGGGTTTTTTTTTTTTTTGTTTCAGTTCTATTACCCTTTCTCCTTTGCTTAAGTAGAATTTATAGTTTGGTTGAGGCGATCACAATAAAAGCCAGAAAAGAAAAAAGGTTTGTGTCTGCGATATAAATATAGAGATATCGCGGGGTTTTACGGAATAGTATATAGTGGAATTGCCATTGTTGTCGTCGTCGTTATCGTTTTATAGTTGTTTTTGTACAAGAAGAAAAAAATACATATATATTTATAAACCAAACAAGTAACGACAAATAACATTAAGAAAAAGAAGAGGAGGAGAGAAGTTGAAAAGGTAACGAAGTCCTAAGAGAAAATCACTCTTACGGTAATGTTACATGATGTAGAGGACACCTTTCTCACCTTACAAGACGCCTTTACAACGGCAATACAGTTTTTTGCGAAGAGAATTGTGCCACATGGTGCTCCACTAACGGAGCAGCAGGCAGTGGATATACTTGACGTGTACGACACACTCCTTGGGGTAGAAACAGATGGACATGATAGGCTCCAGCAGCAAAGAGAACTACAAGAACGAGAACAACAACAGCGTGCACATGTCGCACGACTCTCCCTTGAAGGTCATTTTGCCGCCCTTCTCGTCAATATCTTATCACAACATTTATCACATGTTCATCCACAAGATGCACAGCGGCAAGAACCATTTCTTGCACTACGTATGCGATCCCTATTGTCGCTACAGCGCCTACTCATTGCTTGCAGTGAGTCCGGAAATGTTATCTCAATGCTTTGCTTTCGTATTGTGATACAGGATAGTTTGCTACAGCAGCTACTTCGAGTACTTGCAGAATCCCCATACGAACCACTGCGTGCAGGAGTCGGGGAGACGCTTTTCATCTTCCTTGTGCGCATTCATGACGCCCCCACGGGTTTTGTAGGCTGTGGCGGGGTGGAGGCGATGTGTCGGGCGGTTGTGGCTGACCGCAGTCCCGCCGTCCGCACAGTGTGTGCCGGAGTGCTGCGGGAGTTGGCGGAGACGCACGTGGATGGTCTCGCCGGGCCCGCGGCGGTGGAGGCGTTGCGGCGCGCGCTGAGGGACGACGGGGCGGCGGAGGTGCGGGTCCTCGCGGCGGAGGTCCTCGAGCGGGTCGTCCACCGCCGGGCCGGTGAGGCCCTCCGCGACCCCCGCGCCCTCCTCGACGCCGCCCGCCGCGCCCTTCTCCCCGGAGAAGAAGGCAGTGGAGGAGTGGGAGTGGGAGTGGGACGCGGAGGACCCCCTGAAGCTCCTGCTGTCGCTGTGGAGACCCGCACGGACCCCGTCGCGCCGGTGGAGGCCGCCGCACGCCTTCTTGAGACTGCCACAGCAGCAGCAGCCGCGCATCGTCTTCAAGAGTACTTCGCACACGTCACCACAGAAGGGATGGTAGAGGCACTCCTCCAACGATTAGGCAGTCAGAGTCATTCTCACTATCAACATAATAACGGCAACGCCGCACTCGCCCGAACATTGCGAATGCTGCTTCAGTACACACCTCCAACATTCGCGTTACCATGTCGAATTCTACAGAATCGTGAACTGCTAGCTATACTTTTGAAAACTATAGTTGACGCTGGTCGTGGTAGGACTATTCCCGGTGAGGATTATGCTGCCTTTCAAATTAAAAATGTAGAACTGGCTCTTTGTTTCGCCATTATCGCTTCGCAGTCATCCTCTTATCGTGAGTACCTTTCAAAGGAATTGTGTGACTACCCACAATGGGGAACTGCAATAAAAAAATCTGTACTTTCTTTACTGAGTGCAGCTTCTCTAGACTACTTTACTAGTATTGAACTGTATGATATCACAGGGTTTCACCTTAATAAATTAAATGGAGTTAACTGGGATGTTGATAATACACCTCAAAATGAATATGTGGTAAAATTATTTCAAGATCAGGTCCGGCGTGAAGGAGCAAAACAGAAGAGTGTAAGATCTGAGTATCACACATCTTTGTTCCCAGAAGTAGAAATCGGTTTTGTTAAAGACCAGGAGAAAAAAGTACGTCTCACCTTTCTTATTTTGTTTCATGCAACCAACATTACTTTTACTGTGGATAACAATATGACAGCTGAGATGAAGCCTAACTTCTCAGAGCTACACACAGGGAAGCGTAACACACTACGATTCCGTCTGTCCTCACCAGCTGCACTATCCAGCAAACATTATAATATGCAACAACAACAACAACAGCAGTTTGTGGGAAAACGTGAAAATATTCTCTCTCCAGATAGCTGTTTTCACTCTAACTTACCCCTTAAGGATCAGAGTACAGTGATAAATGATGAAATGGGGGCAATGGCTATTGCATATGATAAGTTTAATTCCTCCATGTCTTTTGTACTAAAGTACACACAACATTACAGTACAAAAAAACAAAAGGTCGAAGATGTTGTAGAAACGAAAGACGGTTACGTTGTACATTTATCACGACTAAAAAATCCATGGCATCCTATTGTTGAAAATCAAAAACTTAAAACATGGCAAGTAAATGATCTGAAGGTAGGAGATCTCTTTTATTTCTCTTTACCATTTGATGATATAGGAACAGATACCTTGAATGCAGTTGTATACAAAGCTCGCAAACACATGGCATATATAAAGAGGGAACTTCTTACTGCACCACAAAGTAACAAAGGTCGTAGATGGTTTCTCCATGACATGATGAAAAATATTATGCCTAACATGATGACACTTCTTGAGGAGCTTAAAACTATTGTACAAAATTATGGTGGAGATTCTACTCGCTTCCCCATATTCCTTTTCCGTGAAAAGGAATTACACTTTGGTGAACGTTCTCTACACCCAGGAAATATTGTAGAAGTAATTGACCAAATTCAATTTTACTTTTCGCAGAATGTAGAAGAAACTATTGGTGTAAATAGTGAACGTTTACTACAGCTTAGTCAACAACTAGATAATATTGAAAAAAGTGTGAACATAAACGCTGTATTTGACGCATATTCACCCTCTGTTATCCTATGTGGTGCTGGTGAAAACGAAGATGATGGTGATGATGGTTATGGACATGGCACAATCAGCTCTGATTCTGAAATAGGGAATTAGACATTAACAACGGTGTATCTTATAAAAAGTAGAAGTTTTTTTTTTGTTATCTTTGATTCCCCTTTCTTATTTTTTTTTCTTATTTTTTTTATTTGTGAATACACAAAACTATTATCGATACAGTTATCATTTTTACACGCAAAGCTTTGTTTTCAATCTTTCTCCCTTTTTCTTTCCCTCCTCTCTCAGAAAAGAGAAAAAAATTGTGAATCTCTGAGAAAATATTTCTACATATATTTATTACTGAAAAAGAATATTAAATAAATATATATATCTATATATATATATTTTTTTTTTTTCGATGCAAATATTCTGCTTTTACTTCTCTTTTTGTTTTCTATATCTTCTTTTTTTCTTATTGCGTTATGGTGTAATGAGGTGCCTCGTCAAGGGGTAGTAATAAAAAAAGAGAAAAAGAAGGGAGTGGGAAAAGAGAGTTGTTATCTAACGTTAGGGGTGGTTCGAAAAAAAAAAAAATAAGTGATGGAAGCTGAAGATGTAGTGGAGGTACTGCAGGATCCGTCCATGTATACCAGATCTATCCATAAAGAGAATGGAGCTCGCTGGGTGCGTGGTCTCACTCCTGTGGATGCTGAGGTAGAAAGGCAAGAACAAAGAGATTATAGAAGCGCAATAAGAAGAAGATTCTCTATGTTTAAATTTAACTCCCTGATGGAACACTGGTTGCGCTTACCGATTCTACTTGGTGTACTTTCCTTTATTTCTACTGCATTTTATATTGCCACATGGACTGAAGTTTTCGCAATAAACTTTCCCCCTAATGAGGAAGAATTATGGGTATCTGCTGCGAGACCACAGGAGAAACTCGAAATGTTCCTTTACAAACTCTGGTACATGTGGGGAGTTTCTTTTCTTCAAGCATTGTTTAGTCTAACACTTTCATGGTCTATTGGTACTGCTGCTCGTCACTTTTCAGCCCTTTGTGGAGTAGGAATTTCGTTATTATCTCTTATGGCAATTATGGGTCAACTCCTAATGTTATGGTTAGCCTGTGGTATTTCACCGTTAAGTAAAAGGAATGAATGTAATATTCCATTTACCTTATACTGGACGTTTAGTGTCGGTCGTACAGTTGGTCCATTACTTGCTTTGTGGTGTATAGCTCCTGTCTTAGACATTATGCAGGGGAACCGCTTTTATTGGAAAATTTTGCTAGGTGTACCTGTTTTTGTGTACATTGTTGGAGTAACATTATTAGTAGTGGACGAGTCCTCATCAGAAAGGGGTTACCTCGTGTATTGGTGTTGTTGTTGTGCCGCACTTGTGAGTTGGGTTCCGCTGATAGTTTCGTGTATTAAACAGAGGTGGTTTCAAGTGGTATTTACTCCAAAACGACACAAAGAGTAATGCATGATTCTGTTAAACGTTACGGTAGTGGTATTGAAACCATTTTTTTTTTTTTGCATAGAGAGAGACTATGTTTCTCTTGAGAGAAGTTCTATAATCTTTCTACAATGCAACGTACCTTGGCGATATCTTAGAGGGAGGATGTTGTAGAAATCTCTTCATTCTCCTTCTTTTCCTTTAAAAAAAAAAAAACATCCGTTATCGTCTCTTGTTGTGTTTTTTTTTTGCTTTTTTTCGGTGGATGGGGGTGATACTGTAAACGTGTTTTTTTTTTTTTCCTTCATTTTCTTCTTCTTGTTATTGTTTTCTTTGTATTTAGGAAGGAGGTGTCGGAGGTGATGGTCGCTCACCTCCTACCACCAGTACATGCAAGTCTGTCATTGCGATTGCTGGACTGTTCCTCATGTGCTCTCATACATACCTTGCAGCAGAAACGAATAACAGTTCCTTCTCAAAGCCTCGCACAATTTGCCTTGGATATTCTCACAGGTGCTGTTGTTGTGGGAGGCGCAACAGAAGTTTTGGTTCCCTTTTCACTTTTGAAGTATGTGCATGACTTTTTTAAGTCCACATCCGCTGATCGACAGCGACGAGAGGCATGGGATACACTGGCGATGGATGATCGTCTGGTGATTCTTACGGCCCCACGTGATGTGCCTCGTCTTATAGCGGAGTTTCCTCGTTACACACAAGTTTGTATGTGTGTTCCAACTGGTCCACTATGCTCGCGGATGCTCTTTGACCACACCCCGCTGGAGACCTTTTTCTCGGAGCATCTAACGCCGGCGATGACGGCGTTGTCTGAAGCCTCGCCGCGGGAGTACCGCTGCACCGCGTGGCTTCGCTCCTCCCTCTCGTGCCGCTTCGAGGGGCCGCATGTGCCGGCGGTGCGGGTGGCGGAGACGGCGGCGCGGCTGCTCGGCGGGGCCCACGGCTGCTGCTGCGAGCGGGTGGTGTACGAAGAGGGCGTCGCCGGCGTGACGCCGCGGGCGGTGGAGACGGCAGTGGCAGCGGCGGCGGCGTGCGGCGTGGGGGCGGGGCGGATGGTCCTCGCCGTCTGCCGCGGAGGGGCCGCCGGAGACCTCGTCGCCCGCGCCGTGGGGGTGGGGAGCGGAGGGGCGGCGGTCTGCGCAGCGCCAGCCCCGCTCTTCCCGCACTCCGAGGAACTGATGGGGCCCAGCGATGTGCTGAAGCTTGCCTGTGGGTGGAATGATGTCAGCGGGCAGCTCAGCGATGAGGAGTTGGCATCCCTCGAGGACTCCATCGAGTACTCCACTACACTCGCCATGGAGTGGGAGGCATGGCTGAAGCGATGGGGAAAAGAGACAAACCCCTCTCCTTGAAGCTCATGTTGATGCGGCTACCTTTTTTTTTTTTTTTGAGGTGTCTTTCTTTCTCTCTCTCTCTTTCTTTCTCTCTCTCTCTCTCTCTGTTTTTTTTTTGTATGTGTGTGAAAAGGTATCTGTCTGTCTGCTTTTTTTTTTTTATTATTATTCCCTTTCTTTCTTATTTTTGGCTCTCTTTGTTTTTTTTTTTTTGCATTGAAAACACGTAACATATGAACTTTTTTTTTTTACTCTTATAGACTCTCTGGTGATGTTTGCTAAGAAGCGGTCAGCCGTTCACCAGGTCCGAGGACATGCAACAAAACGGGGTTGTAGTGGTATTACTCGCAATGACATTGGTTGTGGCACAATCGGTTGTTCACTTTGTGTAAATGCTGTGTGTGGCGCCCGTGGTGCCTCCATTGTACCAACTGCACCCATAATGATTCCAGACACCAATGTGGTGCTTCATAATATGAATGCCCTTGAGGATGCTCGTGTTCAGAATATTGTTTTCTTATCAACCGTTGTGTCTGAAGTACAGAACCGTAATAAGGCAATTTATGCAAGAGTTCAACGTCTTATTGCTGTTGAGCAAAAACAATGCTATGTTTTTCCAAACGATCGTCATGAGCAAACCCATTGTATGGTAGAGCGAGATGAAACCCCAAATGATTTTAATGACCGCTGTATTCGAGTAGCGGCTAAATGGTATGGACAGCACCTTACTTCAGCTTTCCCAACAAATCCTCCAAGCGTTTTTCTCGTTTCACATGATAAGTTACTTCGACAGGCACTTAATGCTCAAACAGAGGAGAGTCATACTCCAAATCTTTCGTGTGTTACACTTCGTCAGTTTCTGGAACAAACAGTAACCGCTGGTACAGATTTGTTGGAAAAAATTCAATATGAACAACCTGCCGGTATGAAGGAGTCACCTACAACAGGAGGATTATTTGTACCTCATTTGCCTGAAAGTGCACTGGAGGTTGGTATACAAAATGGTATATACCTACGTAGTAAACTGCGTGTGAGTGAGACGAATTGTTTTTTTGGTGAAATACGTGGAGAGTGGGAAGGACGACCATTTGCACGAGTTTTGTTACCAGGAAGGTCTAACCTTAATCGTGCTATTCATGGAGATATTGTGGTCGTTGAATTACTACCCGTTTCCTCATGGCGGGGAAAGAAGGATGCTGAACCTCTTGATGATAATACTTCACATTCAACAGCTGTTGAACTTGGTTTTGTCCCTGTAGGACGTGTTGTTGGTATTACAGATATGCAACGACGACCTTTCTGTGGTAGTATTGACGTAGATGAACTTAAACGACTTAGTACTTCTTCTGGATCAGGATCAGGTAGTGTAAGTGTTTTATTTCAACCTAAAGATAATCGTATTCCTCGTATTCGTATCTCTACAAGACATATAGAAGATTTAAAAGACAAACGATTGAGTGTTATTATTGATGAATGGCCAGAGTACAGCAGTTTTCCTTTGGGGCATTATGTTGAGGTACTTGGTACTATTGGTGATAAAGATACTGAAGCAAAGGTAATCTTACTTGAAAATGACATTCCACACTATGACTTTAGTGAAGCAGTATATGACTGTCTTCCAAAGGGACAATGGAGTGTATCGCAAGAAGAACTAGCAAAAAGACTTGATCTTCGGGATCTCTGTGTTGTTAGTGTTGATCCACTAGGATGTCGTGATATTGATGATGCTTTACACTGTCGAGTAGTAAATGGAAATCATCTTGAAGTTGGAGTTCATATTGCAGATGTTACACATTTTTTACAAGAAAATACTGCTATGGATGAGGAAGCAGCAAAACGCAGTACAAGTGTTTATCTTGTGGATAGACGTATTAATATGCTTCCACAGCTGCTTACGGAGAATCTTTGTTCTATTGTTGAAAAAGAGGATCGTTATGCATTTTCTATTATGTGGGAATTTGATGAAAATTATAATGTTGTTCGTGACTACTTTGGAAAAACTGTTATTCGTTCCCGTGCAGCACTTTATTATGGTGATGCCCAACGTATGATTGATAATCCTGCAGATAACAGTGAAATTGCTGTATCATTACGTCATTTAATGAAACTCAGTCGTCATTTTAAACAACAACGAGAAAAGGATGGTGCATTATTCCTTGCTTCTCAAGAATTTAAATTTAAGGTAGATAATGAACATGTAAATCCTACAGATATGCAAGTGTATCAAACCTTTGAGGCAAATTCTATGATTGAAGAATGGATGCTTTTTGCTAATGCAGCAGCTGCAAAGAAAGTATACGAAAATTATCCACGATGGACACTTTTACGTCGTCATGAACGTCCTGCAGAAAACGCTTTTGAAACTTTAAATGAAGCACTTCAAGAAAAAATTGGTATGTCTCTTGATGATACAACATCATTAACATTAAATAATTCACTAAATCGTTGTATTGATCCTAAAGATGAGTATTTTAATAAACTTATTCGTATTCTCGTCACACGTTGTCTACGACAGGCACAATATTTTTCAAGTAGTGAAGTTTCAAAGGATGAGTTTTATCACTTTGGTCTTGCTATGCCTATTTATACCCATTTTACTTCTCCTATTCGTCGATACGCTGATGTTATTGTACATCGACAATTAGCCGCTGCACTTGGTATTATGAATGTGAGTGAAACTCATATGGACTCTGTCAAGATGGAAGCGCTCGCAGCTAACATTAACTATCGTCACGAACAAGCACAACGAGCGGGACGCGACTCTCAGAATCTTTTTACTGGATTCTATCTACGCAACTTTGCTAATCAGGCTATACCTCCAGAGGATGGATATGTTGTAAAACTCTCTGAAACACATGTGTTTGTACTCGTTCCAAAGTATGGGCAAGAAGGGAAGATTGCAAAGGAGCAACTTGTACGTATACCAAATCTACTAGATAAGGTTCAAGTTGGTATTGAGATGCAACAGCGGGGTGATGTACTTCGCACTACTCTGACTTTTTCATTGATTGGATTGATGAAGGAAGGTGGGATAGAGAGTACGGTGTCCCCCGTAGAGGAAGTAAATGATGAGGTGAAGGACGAGGAACCAGCACTTAAGAAAGCTCGTCTCGCGGATAATAATGATAATAATAATAATAATAATAATAATAATAATAATAATAATAATAATAATAGCAACAACAACAACAATGATGATGATGGTAGTGATATGAAGAACGAGACTAAGAACAATATTTGTGAAAATGCAGAAAAAGATGCATAACTCATTAGCTTCCTCCTCCAAAGGAGGCGTAAAGAATATAAAGTCATTGATACATGTCGTTGACAAAAGGGTAATATTGTTGTTAAAGTGGATATTATTTTTATACAAAAAAAAATTGTTGTTTTTTTTTTTTTGTTTGTTTGTTTCCTTTTTTTTTCGTTCTTGTATTATTCCTTTTATTTTCCCCCCTTTTTTTTTACTATTATCATAAAAGGAATAGTGTGGTCGTTTGTTTGAATGAGTAGAAAGTTGATTGCTCTACTCGGGCGAATTGCCTCCCCATTTTTGGCTGTTCGTCTGACGAAGGAAGAGTTATGTCTTTCAATGGCTGCTTTATCTCGTCTGCCGCCCCTTCGACAGGATGAACTTGTAGGCATTAACTTTGATGCGATTGCAAAACGGGCGCAGCGTGTTAGTCCTTTGTGTACTCCTACAGAGATAGGAATGATTTCTGATGGTGCTACGGCGCTTTTGTGTGGACGTGTTGATTTAGCAGATGCACTTATCAGTGATTTGTATACGGCAATAAAGAAAGAAGTTCCCTGTCGTATTAATCAACTGACAGCTACTGTCCGCTACACTAATATTTTAGAAAATTATTACAATGAAACAGTTCCCGTACTTTTAAGGTCTGCAGCAAAGTTACTACATAAGAATGATAGTTTAAACGTGTTGGATATTTTTGTGCGTCTCGCAAAGTCGTATTTACCGGAAGAGGAATTCAATGCAACGATGGACGAATTACGAATGAAAGCAACAGATGAACAGGTTAACTGGATTAATACCGCGTGTAATCGTTGGAAAGATAAAATAGTATCTAAGATGGATGGAAGAGGAAATACAAAAGAAGAACAAGGAAAGGAAGAAGGAGAAGAAGAAGAAGAAAATGGCTGGACTGCATCACGTGCACGAAAGTGGCTTTCTCTTCGTGTACGAAATAATAAACTCTGGACATTATCAGAGGCCGTACAGGCATTAGAATTGTATGCTTATTTTGCCGTTCGTGACCCTGTATTACTTGAAAAAATTCAAGATGCTGCTATTTCTGTAATACCTAAAGCTAGTAAATCGGAAATAAATGAAATTCGTAAAGTTGTTATGACATCCTTTCATCTTTTTCCACGAGTTCGAAAGGAACTAACAGATTGCAACCCAAACTTAAGCGAAACATCAGAAAAGAATAATATGATGGGAAGTAACAGTTCTATCATCTCTTCACTAGCCAAGAGATTTAAAACATCTCAAGCGTATGAGAATTTATTGATGGGTCGAAAAATACCAGAAGATTGGTTGTTTGAAGTTATGCAAGAACAGGATGGTACTTCTCCTGTAGATGTGGCAGCACAGGCTGCTTGTATTTTTGCTGAAAAAGGAGAAATTCCAGAAGGTATTATTTTACAAATCTCTGCACATGTAGAAGATCTTTCTCTGTCTGGATTTGCAGCTTTTATTCGAGCAGTTCGTCGAGACTCTTCTGAGGCATTGTTACCACAATCTCCAGCTGTTTTTCGTAAGTTTGCTATGAAAGGAATTCGAGAGGCAACTCTGGAAACTTTAAAGGAAATATGTATGGCCTATGCACTACCTTTTCCACGTGGTACATCTAAAAAAGAGGATTCTCTCTATTTAAAGGATCAACATACTTTAGAAGAGGCTGTTATTACACAATTACTTTCTATTATGCGTGACACCTCTTCAATTTCATTTATATGCGAAATAGCAAAAGTGGTACATTCTATTGATAAGATGAATGAAGTTGTACAGTTTGTTTGTCAAAGTGTATATACACAAAAGGAAATAACGGTAGATGATGCATTAGCCCTTTTGGATATGTTATTTTATCGTAACTACGTTCATGAACCTTTACTTGATATGATGGAACCTATCTTTCGCAGACTTGTTGAATCTGTAATTCTTCAATTAGAGAATGGTAGTGAAATTAATGAGGTTGAAGCCCAACAAGTTGCCAAGTTTGCCGCATTACAAGCTTCTTTTGATGCCCCTGATTTTGAGGTATTGGCAACTCAGTTAATACATGCTGTTGAAGAAAATATGGAACGTACTCCTAAAGAGTATCTTCCAGGAGTAGGTTTACTTTGTCAACGATATAGACGAGATGCCACTGTTCAGAAAATTCAAGATAAACTTATGGATTCTGTACAGAACCTTTCTGATAAGGCTCTGGAATCACTTATACGATTATCCACAAAGGAGAAAAATACAGTCGTGAAGGAACTTGTTAATCAAATCTGTTCTGTTGTTTCAGGGCGATTGGCCTATCAACGGGTATTACCTCCAGATGTGGTGGCTCTAACAGTGGTATTACACTGTCGTCATTGCAGTTCAAAAGATATAATTGAAGAAACTCTAACAGATTATGTGTTAGAATGGATGGAGGCATTAAGTTCGGAAGTATACGTTTCTTTATCTCGTGTTGTACATTTGGGTGGTGTTTCAGAATCGTTTGCAAATGGAATCATGGATGATTTTCCTCGTCGCTTAAACTTCATGACACCAACAGAGATTGCTCTTGTTGCTTTTGGTCTTGGAGAAGTGACTGGTGTAGGACAACGACTTTCTCATCAACTCATTGCTGAAAAATGTTCTGATTACGTAGTTGACCACTCACATGAATTCTGGAGTGGAAAAGATATTTCTTATCTTATTTATGGTTTTTCTCGTATGCAGTGTACAAAACGTAGTTTGTATAATGTTTTTGCAACACGTCTTGCTATGCGTCCTATATTATCATCTATGGATCAAGAATCTATTAGTCTTGCTGTTGGTGCTTTTGGTCGCTCAAAGTATCTTGACAAGAAACTTTTTGATAGTTTCTCTCGTCGAATATTGGAACAATCAAATAATCTTCAAGCTGCAGATTTAATGCTAACTATAAGAGGATTTAGTCGTGTAATGCTATTAAATGATACTCTTTATGAGAATCTTGGAACCAAGGCTGCAGAAAAAGTGAATGAATTTCCAATTGATTCTCAGTGTACTCTACTTGCTTCCTTTGGTTCTTTAGGAATAGAACACGAAAAACTTGCGACCCGAATGCTTGATGGTATTGTTAGTAAGATTGAAGAATTAGAAGATGCTAATAAAGCTACAGATGTCATTGCCTCATTATGGCAAATGAATTATGATGTGGAAAGTGATAAACATGTGGGACAATTAACGGATTGGATTATTGATAAATCAGAAGAACTTAACGCTAATTCTATTGGAAAACTCTGTTGTATATTAAGTGATACTAATTGGAGACATGTTCCACTTATTCGGGCTATTGCTGAACAGTCAGTTCGATTGCAAACACAAGAAAATGTTTCACCAGAGTGTTGCAGAGCCGTACTGGATACATTAGGTACATTTATGATTCACCATCAAGGAGCGAGAGAAAATCTCTCAATGCTCGGAAGGAGTGTAAGTAAAGAGAGGATTCAACTTTCAGAAGAGGAAGAACAGCAAGTTCAACTTTTATTACGGCGTTAATACCGCTAAAAAATCTTCACATACATAGATATATATATATATATATATATATATATATATCTTTTTCTTTCTACTCGTATAAGTTTCTTCTTATATCTTTCTTCTTTTTTTTTCCTTTTGAATTCCTCCCTACCAACCTGTTCAATATTATATTTCCCACTCTTTTTATTTTATCGTCTTCACTCCACTGGATTTTTTTATTTTTGGTGTTGTAACGTGTATGGGTGGGAGGTGTGCGAATAGGGATGGGGTTGGATGGAAACAAAAAATGGAAGAGGTGTGGAAAAAAAAAACGAGTAATTGAGAGGTGTCTGATATGGTTTTGATGGTTATATCAAGTGATGTTCACTTGCAAAACTTCAATACCATGTTCCTCATGAATCTTTGTTTTTTTTTCTTTTTCCGTTGTTGTTGTTGTTGTTATTTATTTTTGTAACCATTTTTATTTTTCACCTTTACATTTTGTTTATTCTGTTTCTCTCTCATTGTGTGTGTGTGGTTTCTTAAAACATTAAAGTAATAAACGAATCTATGGGAGGATTAAGGTTTCTTTCTTTCTTTCTTTTTTGCCTTTTCTCTTCTTTTATTATTCTCATTGATTGTGAACATTAAGACTTGTTTAGGGTATCTGCATAAGAAAAAACAGCAAAAACAAACAAAGATAAAAAGATAAAACTAATGACAGCTGATAGACGATTTTGTATTCTTGATTCTGTAATCGACGCAATTGGTTCTACTCCATGCATTCGATTACATCGCACACCAAAAAAACACGGTGTGTCTTGTGAAGTTATTGCCAAATGTGAGTTTTTAAATCCTGGCGGTAGTGTGAAGGATCGTATTGCACGACAAATGGTTCTTGACGCTGAAGCCTCAGGTCGACTACGCGGGAAAGAAACACTTATTGAACCCACAAGTGGAAATACCGGAATAGGACTAAGTATGGTGGCAGCCGTGAGAGGATATAATATGGTTATTGCCATGCCAAAGAAAATGTCCCATGAAAAGGAAGTAACACTGCAAGCACTTGGAGCTAATGTGATCCGAACTGAAACATCCTTACCATGGGATCACCCAGATAGTCTTATTGGTGTGGCACGTCGATTGGAAAGAGAAAAAGGTTATGTTTTATTGGATCAATATAAAAATCCAAGTAACCCCAGGGCACACTATGAAGGAACAGCACAAGAAATATACGATCAATGTGGTGGTAAAATTGATATGGTGGTGATTGGAGCTGGAACTGGAGGCACAGTGGCTGGTGTAGGAAAACGACTAAAAGAATTACTGCCTAATATTATTGTTATTGGTGTAGATCCATATGGAAGTATTTTGGCAGATCCATCTGATGTTAAAAGTACCAATACACCCTATCTTGTTGAAGGTATTGGATACGATTTTGTGCCAGATGTCTGTGAAAGACAGTATGTTGATAAATGGGTAAAGTGTGCTGATAAAGAGAGTTTTGAACTTGCTTCTGAACTTCATCGTGATGAGGGTCTTCTTGTGGGTGGTAGCAGTGGTTCTGCTATGTGGGGAGTATTGCAAGCGGCAAAAGATCTTCGCCCTGATCAACGTTGTGTAGTATTATTTCCTGACGGTATTCGTAATTATATGACTAAATTTCCAGACAAAAACTGGCTCATTGAAAAAGGTTTACTTGAAGGTGAAGTAACACGCCCGACATACGAGAGTCTTCAGGCACAACTGGCTGAGGTAAAGAAAAAATTGAGTGCATACGAAAACAAATAAGGTCTCAAAAAAGAAAAAAGAAAAGGATATATAATAAGAGTTTCAAACAAAGAACAAAAAAAAAAAATATTGTGAATATTTAAAGGAGAAGTTTAACAATAAAAAAAGAAAATATATGAATATATAAAGAGGGGAAAGTAGTATATATCGTTCTTATTGAAGGGTGATAATGGCTACAATGCTGCATTTGGGAAATAAATTTATATGTTACTGGTGGTATCCATGTGAATGCAATTTTATTTTAATGGGGTGATATTTATATTTCTCAATACAGGAGAGTAAGATACAGTGTTATAGCTCCTGGAAATGGGAGGTGATGACTTAAAAGATGATTTAATTCGTAGAAACCATGAATGCCAGTCTGTTGTCTCAAGAGCATATGGACATGTTTTTTTTTTTTTTGTTTTTGTTTGTTTGTTTGTTTTGCTCTGTCATTGAGAGGGAAAAAGGGGAGGCTGAAGCTTCATTTGTAATTACCTTGTGAAACACGCATATTATCATATTTATATTTATAAAAATTATTTTTAGAGTTTTTTTGGTAATGATAAAAGCTTGTGAAAAGAATTTTTGCTGTTACCAAATGATATTAAATAAATGAGGGAGCGTTTTTTTTTTTTTTTTTATGTGTTTACCTTCTTTCTTTACCACTTGTCTTGCTTTTGGTCTCGATATATCCCCCATTGGAATTAGCGAGTGTTTTATTCTTTTTCCATCCCACAACTTTTATGTTATCCTTTATAGAAAAGGGGTCCGGTAGTTGTGAGACAGTAAAGATTGTCACACCGAAAGTTCACAATGAGTTAGGATATCGTGGATCTTCTATGACTTCTTTTTTTTTGTTTTTGTTTTTGCTTGACTATTTTATTGTTTTTTAAAAGAATTCATACTAAATTGGATGTCCGGTAATACTGACAATAACTTTGTCATTTTTCTTTTGCCTTCTCTTTTGTAGGTTTATGGAGTGGAGCGAAGGGACGGAATCCAAGCACATATTTGGATTGTTATCACTTTCCCTCTCTTTTTATTTGCGTGTGTTTATGTGTATGTGTATGTGTATTTCTATGAGGAGCAAGTATAAAAGGAATGTACTTGCTTTGTTATTGAATATATTTATCCTATTTATCAACTCATTTTTTTCATATGATTTTCTTTTTTTTTCTTTATAAGGAACTATGAACATAGAGGAAAGAAAACGGTACGATCGTCAAGTTCGTTTGTGGGGTAAGGCCACACAAGAACAACTACGGCAAACAGAGGTATATGTTAATGGGATAACTTCTGCCACTGCAGAAATAACAAAAAATCTAGTTTTGGCTGGTGTTTGTAGAGTAGTTGTAAACGATGAGTCTAATATTGAGGATGGTGATGTAAGTACTAGTTTTCTAGTACAGAATTGGACTAAAGGTGAGACAAGGGGCGAAGTATCTGTTAGACGACTCGGGGCATTAAATCCCTATGTTGATGTTTCTCTGGCAACACAAATAAAACATAAGGAGATGCTTTCAACTCAAACCTCATTCATCGTAAGTGTCTCTTACATTCAAGGGAGTAATGAAGCTCTTTGGGAATATAGCTGCGCTCAGCAAAATGTTTTGGCTGATCTCTTAGTTTTTGTGATAGAACTTGGACACATAACGATGGGTCTGTTTTTATCAAAAAAGCAAAAACTCCCGTATAAGGAACAACTAGATTTATTACTCACAAAAAATACTTCCCTGAGACCTACTCTTTTTCAGTTATCACTACTTTTAATGAGAATGGAAGAATGTCATAAAGAAGCAACTTACTTTGAACGACTTGTTTTTGCGAGAGATATCATAATAAAGTATGGTCTTTCTCAATTAAAACGTGAAGATATAGAATATGCTGTTGGATTCACTCCAAAACATCATTCTGTAAATGCAATTGATGCAACTGTTGCAGGGGGGATATTCGCTCAACTAATTATAGGTAAACTTAGTTCTGGAAATAAAGAAGAAGAAGGGAATGAAGGTTATGCTTGGGCGATATGCGATAATAGCTGTGGTACAAATGTGCAGGTTGGACCTCTGTTTGTTCCCTAGTTGCCAATCGCAGTCGTAATATACTACTATTAAACTGTTTGATTATAATACTACATTTTTTTTTCTTGTTGTAGTTGACAATGTTCCACAATCTGATCAATGAAATGTACTCCTGTTCCTCTTTTCTTTTGATAGTAATAAACGTATTATTACTTTTTTTTTACTTACATACATGTATTTATCTCTTTCTTGCTGTCGTCGTTGTTGTTGCTACTTTTGTTTATATTAAATAGTTTATTTTACAATACCCAAATAATAATAATAATAATAATAATAATGTCAAGAGAGTTTTCTTTTGTTTCTTACTTGGAGCAACAGGATAAACTGGTAAACTGGTTTGCCAGTATATTTCAAGTTTGGATGCGAGTTCCATTGGATCTTTTATCAATTGCAGGTCGAAGTGAAGAAAAACTCAATGCACTAAAAAAAAAGGATTTGTGTATGGATAGCATCTCCGTTCTTGTGCTGGCC